TCCCCCCAGCACAACACCATGAGATTGAACCTGCCATTTCCTTCGTCAACCAGATTCCTTGTATATCTGTGCACAAAATGTCGTACATTATATAACTGTTTTTCCTTCGAGGATTATCTGCTGAATGCTAAGTGATCAAGAGATTTTCTCAGTCCCGTTTTCGTCCATTGACCTTTCGAAAATCTTGACATCTTAATACGTGTGCAAATGCGCACACATGTGTTTAAACAATTGTTACATATACAGAGTTTACCAGATATCCAAATATAAAATTTTTCAAAATTTAACAGTAAGTTTAAAGATATTAATTTATTTTAATAATATTATTTATATTATTTATATTAATAATATTATTACAAATTTAATTTTGTTAATTGAGAGCTAATAGATTCAGCACACTAACACAGTTATTAAATCTTGCATCAGCTTTTAAATAGATTTTAAATATTAGTTGCACCTTGGAATCGAAAACTAGTCTGATTAGCCGGTCACTGGATAAATTTCAACAAAATCACTCGCAGTCGGTCGACATATTAATCGGTGTATTAAATAGAAGGAAAAGTTGCTTTATATTAATTTTGTAGTCTTTCGAGAAATATTTCAGCTAAAGCGCTATCAACTTAGGGAAATTGCGCAAAAACTTAGGAAAATTGTGTTTTTAATTCTTTTAAAATACGATTACATAAATGTTTTTTAGTTTTTAATACGATTAAAATCTTCCGAATAAAAGAAAACAAAAAAAAACTTATTTTTGCGGAAAGAGAGCAATTATTTAAATTTGAATCGTTTCACATTGGTATAACACAACATTGTTTAATAAATTGTTAATTTTCGATGTTTCTTTAACAATGGATTCGTCCCAGTTATTTACGAGGCATTAATATAGAGTGCGCGAATCGGTGATTTGTGATTCCAGCGAATGCGAGGTGCAGCAGAGCGAATATGATTTGAAAGTTTCGATATTTCGCACGGCATGCATTTCATTCGTATTTTTTGTTTTTTTTTTTATGAGTGTCATGCGATGTACATACATGTACCAATGTTCTCTGGATTGAGCTGAACGCAAACACGGAGAAGAGAAAACGTATGAAACGTCGATATAATCAACAACTATTCATTAGCCGATCGTTTCTGAATATTTATATATCACTGTTTCTAATTCCAAATACTAGATAATATTTTTAAATTTCAAGCAAAAATTGAGATGACTTTTAAAGAAATATATATAATTTTTAAAGTTCTAAAATGAGATCGACAGGTATCTATTCATTTCATTATCTCAATATCGCATTATTTAAAGAACATCATTTCATGTTCATTTATATCTATCAAAATATCTCAAATTTTCAATTTAATATA